GAGTCCGAGTGGTCATCTCCTATTGTGATTGTGCTGAAGAAAAACGGCATAGACATTTGAATGTGTATTGACTACTGACTTCTGAATCTGCTCATAAAGCTATCCCGCTACCCTCTACCCTTGATCGATGACCTGCTGGTAGACTTCAAGTCTGCAATGCGGTTTATGAGTCTCGACATAGCGAGTGGATTCTGGGCGGTGCGAATGACTGAGCGGGCGAAGCTGATCTCTGCATTTGTCTGTCCGTTCGGCCATTTTCAATGGCCCAGAGTGCCATTTGGATTGAAGATTGCACCGTTAATTTATCAGAGCATCATCAACAACTGTCTGTGGGGATTTGTCCGTCTACCTCCTGAAGAAGAAGCGTTGGTTGGCCAAGAAGTTCTGGTGTTTTTGAATCTTGAGCCGCAAGAGGTCGCCTGAGGCAGATATGAGGGACTCAGAGATCACGGCACTAGACATGACCGTATTTCGACGTAACATCCCGGCTCCGTCACAAATGGGCCCGGTCTTGGGAAGAAGCTCGTACATTGACGATATCGCTCATGGGGCGTCGACCTGGGATCAACTATGTGAAGACCTGGATGCGTTGTTATATAGACTACAATACTGGAATATCTCTGTGAGCTTACCGAAAAGTGAATTCGGGAAGTTGACCATCCCATTCCTCTCTCATGAAGTGAGCGTTGACGGAATCAGGGCCTTGTCAATAGAGGATCTACCGTTCCCGTCGACGTACAAGGGGGTGCAGTCCTTCTTAGGAAGCCTGAACTATTACAATAAGTTTATTGAAGACTTACCAGTAGTTGCCGCTGTGCTCTATGAACTAGACGAAGAACGTGTACGTGCTGGACGGAACCTGGAAGCCGCAAAGGAGTCTTTCGAGATACTGAAACGCAAGATCGTGTCGACCCCGCTATTGCGACATCCAGACAGAACCAAGCCTTTCGTGATAATTCCGCATGCCAACCCGTGGGCGGCGTGTGCAGTTCTGGGTCAGGAGCATGAAGGATTCATACACCCCGTGCGATTTACGGGTAGACTGTTGAAGGAATCAGAGCTACGTTACCACATAGCTGAGAAGGAAGTGCTCGCAATCTTGCGGACTCTGGAAGTTTTCAGACCTCTGATCCATGGATCAGAATTCCCAGTTGTGGTGTATACGCGCTACTCTGTACTAAAGTGGTTGCTACAATCCAACACCGCAGATGG